TTTAATTCTCCACACCCAGTGAAGACTGTCTGTGTTTCGTCAATGTTCAACAATGGATTTCTTCTTTTTGGTGACATCCATTGATAACATAATTCCATTTTTCGTGGACAAGCGGAAATCGGTCAACGCTTGTTCGTAGGTGACCTAGATATTTTCGACATCTGATACCTATCAACACTAACCCTTTTCTACCTTATTCCCGGGTCTTAAGCCGTGTGTGTGTGTGTTCGCCTATGACCCGTCTCGTATTACTTTTTCTTTCTTTCTTCTTCGTTTTCTCTTTCTTTCTCCCAAATCGCCTGAATGCAAAGAAAGAATTATTCTTAAAACCTAAAATATTTTTCGGCCTTAAATAATCCTCAAATGGTTGATAAACCGTAAAAAAGCAAATCATATATCTATAAATATTTCTTTCAAATCGTCAGGATGCATGGTGCCACAAAGTGCCAAATTCTCCAAGCTCTCTTTCCTCATTATTCATTCCAGAAAATTTAACCCTCTCTTTCTGATACTAAGAATGAGGTTTTCTATTCAGTACAGCGATACAGCATTTGTTTATTATACATCCTTGTGTAAATTAATTAAAACAACCGCTTTAGTTTCTTTTCTTTCGTCATACGGTCAGTTTTAACCCACTGGAGTGGCAGGGTGTAATCGATTTCTATTTTTCCTCAGATTAAGTCATTTGCAGTGGTGTTCAGCAATATGAATCTATTTTCGGGGTGTATGATGAAATTTTTTTGGTGTTGAAAAATATTGTATCATCCGTGATTGCATCAGATTATCATCACACCCAGACACTATTGTCTCGACTGGCGATTAGTTGTCCTACAACCATTGTCTACGATGGACGTTACTCCAAGGAATCGTACGAAAATCGTAACGCTACCATTGATTAAAGTATAATAGAATGACTCGGAAACTCTTCTGATTTATATCCAATCGAGAATATGCGATCAATCTGCAAGGAACGACTTCGTGGAATAGACATACGAAGTACTAACATGTGCGATGGGTCAAGTTCCATTGGAAACATACGAGAAAAGTAAATAATAACGAAATTATTCGTTTTGTTTTAATTAATTTGCACAAGGGTGTATAGGATAAATAATTTTCCAACCGACTGTATTGCAAACCTTTGTTTATATGCTTCGCCAGTAATCTTGATGAACAGTTAATTTTCCTCAAAACAGAAAAGGTCTTTTTTTTTTCTTTATTTGATAAAAGTGAAAACAAAATGCAAATTTTTAACCGCCCCTAATTCTTTATCGATAAATTTGCGTACATCTTAAAACTTTCTTCCCGACAATTGATTTTTGCGAATTTTCTAATTAATTTATTTAAAGCTTCAGATTCGTCACGTTTATTCTTTATTGAGCATCAACAATTCTTTCTTTTTCGTTTTTTTTTCTTTTCACTTCACAGTCTAATCACGATAAAAGAAAGAAGTCTCCATTATTGTTTGCCTAAGTCAAATGAGAGGAAAAGAATCTGAATTACTGACTTGTCCGGAGACTTTTGATATTTTTTTCCTCTTAATCTTCCTGTTTCCAGGCCAACAAACAATAGCATCGTCTCTAGCTCCGAATTGTGATCGCTCCATTCATTCAGCGATCGAATTATGAGTGTTTATCAGTCCTTGTTTTCAAATCAGTTTCTATTGTTCAAGATCGATCATGTATTTTTTTCATAATTTCGATTGAATGAGAAACCTTTTCGTCCATTTAAACTCACATTTGGAGATTAGACGATTTTTCATATATTTTAGAAATATTTAAAAAGAAAAAGCGAAGATAAATGTTTATGACGAACAGTACCATTGTTTAGGCAACAACATGTTTAGTTCGGACAGGGTCGGATGTGGAAAAGTGGTTTCATTCTGAAGAATTTGCGGAAATAAGACGTTTTTTTACGTTCTTAAATTCTAAAGACTAGTTCTGTACTAAAGAACAAGTCTGGTTAATGACACAAAAAATAAAATGGGTGATCTGAGATCGAATTCCCGATGAGAGATTTTGTGTTCATTTTGCAATAATAATCTTTGGAAAGGGATGAGCCTATCGCAAACTCGGGGAAACCAAGGGGATGCGCACTCCGGTTATCGAACAGATATGGGGTTTCGAGACAATCTGAACAAGCTAGCAAGCATTTCATAAGAGGAAAAGTATAATTTTGCTGAACGAAGACACTCTCTGTGATGGAGCGGTCAAAAGAATGCAGGGACAAATGGCGGTTTCTTCTAAAAAGGGTGACGCAGGTTTGAAGCCAGATAGAGAGAACATTTTTATTAAGTTTTCTCGAGTGAAATGGCCGGTAGACTTAATAAACATTGTTAACAAAAAATAAGGCGTCTATTTCAAACATTGAAATGTATTATATATATATATATATATATATATATATATATATATATATCTAATGCACACACACACAGACAGCATATCTTCAGTGAAGCATGTTTGCTTGATAATCTAGATATATCATATCTATTTATTTTATTTTAATCCTAATTGGTAAGACAAAGCCTAATGCAACAGATTGTGATTTTTTTCTAAATGCGCAGGAAACGCGCTCTGTTGATTAAAAAATTAACGTTATCATGCACATTTGCAAAACACTCCAAAACTATCTATAACATTAGTTATTGTGTTTGAATTTGAGAGGATTAAAATAAAAAGAAATATGCATAATATGCTTAGATTATTCAAACAAACATGCTTGAATATATATATATATATATTTTTGAATATATATATATATATATATATATATATATATATATATATATATATATATATATATATATATATATAAATAAAAAGGCTTTTTATATTTTTACTTTGTCCTGACATTGAGTTCTACCTGGATTCTATCCTCTTGTAATTATTTTTTATACAAATATATATGTATGTGTATGTATGTATGTATATATATTTATATATTTTAGATATATGATTGCATATGTATGTGCATATTTACCACTAATATTATCAATATATATATATATATGTATATATATATAAAGAACAGTAAGATATATAATCCGATGTTCTTATTGATGTTTTTTTATTTTTACAAAACAGTGCTCAATGTAAATGACACAGTGGATAAAGGCGTTGGCTAGATCCTGTTAGAGGACCCAGATCTTATTACCTGCTTAAGGCAGTGGAGATTTTGGAGAGGTGAATTAACAGGAGATAAATGATAACTGACATCCGTCAAACATGGCACGTGAAACTAGAACAGTCTAACCCAGCGAGCGAAATAAAGGGTTCAGTTCAACATTCCAACCACCTGAAGAAGGCCGGAGCGTACAACGGCCGAAACGTTGTGATAAATATGGCAACAAATATGAGGACAAGAGTCTGAATAATGTAATACTTCATCTCAGGAATATATATATATATATATATATATATATATATATGGTTAATATCCGGATTTATTTTGTTGAGACTCTTCCCATTAAGACTGATATCTTTCGCCCTTCCCTTACCGCTAACTCGGGCAGTTCGTCTGGCTTAGGCGTGAAAATGTTTCTCTATCAATTTTCCGACTACTGTCAAAGTTAATTTTTTTTTTATTTAAACTTGGGTTGAATAAGACTAACGTACTTCAAGATGGCTGAAATAGATCTATATCTACCCCCATATGAGGTAATTTGGGATTGTGTTGTGTAATTTATATGCTCTGTTGTAATAAACGCACCAAGCGCTTTTTGTGGATCAGTTTTAATATTTGATAATACTAGGATCCATTTGGATTATATAAAAACGGATTTATTACCGATACTACACACACACACACACACACACACACACACACACACACACACACACACACACACACATATATATATATATATGTATATATATTTGTTTGAATAAAAGACAGACCACGTTAAGATTCCATGTAATAAGCTATTTCACCATAACCCCTTTAACAGGGTTCTGGATCATCAGACTTTACTTCCAAAAGCTGAAATGAAGAATGAAAAGAAATTCACACGTTTTTTACGGACCTCATCAAGTATACGCAAAGTTAACGAAGTGAGGAAGTGAGGTAGGAGAGAGGATGTGAGTGTGTCATATGTATCATTTTAGTTTCCTATTTTAACCCCAGTGTGTCGGCTGGATGTTGCTCAAATCTAACGCGTTTCGTCTCTAGATAAAGGTGGTTAAGGGGTGAGCGATAAGGACTACATTAAGGAAGACGTTACAATAACCCCAATAAATTACACGACAGGCGTCTAAGAATTTGAATGAAACCTGTCGTGTAATTTATTGGGGTTATTGTAACGTTTTCCTATATATATATATACAAACACACATACACACACACATATATATATATATATATAAATATATATATATATTTCTTAGGCATTAATAATTTTTTTAATCTGACATTTTTGTTCAAACGCTATTATAGTAGACAATGCATCTATATTTATTTACCAAAGTAATAAGTACGTATCTATATTCCGAAGTATAATCAAATACAAATATCTAAACTAATTTTTAAAAATTTCAAAAATTATACAATTTTACATTTTCACAAAATGTTTTAAACTCTAGCCATAATTATTTAAAAAAAACTTACTTACACACACACACACACACACACACACACACACACACACACACACACACACACACACACATATATATATATATGTATATATATATATATAGTATAATGCAGACAGATTACTAATGTAATGCATGGCGTTCAATTTGCCTAGAGAGGGTTTTACATTAAATTTAAAATCCGCCAGACCTAATATTACCATTATGAAAAAGTGTAAAATTTAAAGAAACTTATATGCAGTAATTTGATAATTTCTATAATTATTATTATTGTTGTCGTTGTCTTTAATGCCATTATTATTATTATTATTATTATTAAATATATAATATAAAAATCTTTAACTGACTTTTGCTCAAAGTCAGCTGATAAATTAATTTTTAAAAAGACGCCTAAACTTCAATTTCTAGTCGATGTTTAGAAATCAAGAACGTCGCCTCACATTTCCATCTATCTATCTATCTATCTATCTATCTATCTATCTATCTATCTATCTATCTATCCTATCCCTGTTTCTTTCTTTCTTTCTTTCTTTTTTCTTTCAATCTCAGTCCGTTCATATCTATCTATCTATCTATCTATCTATCTCTGTTTCTTTCTTTCTTTCTTTTTTCTTTCAATCTCAGTCCGTTCATATCTATCTATCTATCTATCTATCTGGTAAAAATATAGTTTTAAGATATGTTATATTTATGGATAAAAGCTTTTAATATCTATTATAGAAGGTGTATAAAGTAGATGTGGAGGTCAACACCGAATGGCGATATTTCATTTCATTCATGAACACAATAATTCTTTAGGAACAGACTGTCGCCACTCGGTGTTGACACCAGCATCCAATATATATATATATATATATATTCATTTTTGTATCCTTTTTTCATTTTCTGTGTTTCTGTCTTTTCAGTATTGCAGCTGTCACTGAAGAACAGTTTGAATGTTGCTGAACACCAAGAAATCGGAGAGGCTTTATCTGAATTAGGCAAAGAAGGCATTCTTGTCATTGGATCCGGTTTTATGACGCACACATTTGAGAAGATGGGTCAACTAACCGAAGACATCTTCCCATGGGCGTCTGAATTCCAAAGGTGGGTACATGAGGTGTTCTGTGATCCGCAGCTCACCCCACGGGAACGTAAAGAACGAATGAGCGACTGTGAATCTTTGCCATTCTTCAAGAAGGCCCACCCACGAACCGAACATTTTATGCCATTGATTATGGCTTCGGCTGCCGCTGAGTACACACCCGGGAAACCCATCTTTTCACGTTTCGTTTCGCCAAGTCTACTCATGGAACACATTATTTTTAGGCCGCATTCCCTTTAAAGAGCAAGATGTTTTTTCCTTTTTTTTTTTTTTTTTTTTACCTACCTCGCCATTGAATTTCTAGCAACCAAATTAGGTCATATTTGCTTATTATTAATTTGTTCATTCGCAACGAGGAAATAAAGCCAGGAACATTACAATTTCTTTTTTGTCATTCTTTAATCCGCTCACCACGGTGCTTGTTTTTTTTTTATAATTAAAGACAGTCATTGTAATGAAAGAAAGAAGCTTTGGTGGTTCAATATATCACTAAATTTAGATCCGTCAATGGACACTGTAATACGTATGACAAAGTTATGTCAATTGTTTTAACTTAAAATCATATATATATATATATATATATATATATATATATATATATATATATATATATATATATATATATCATAACGAGCCAGGCAAAGCTACATAGGTTTCACCGAAACGGACCTTCAGGGTAGACTCGCTTAAAAAGAAATGGTACAATAGTAGCCAGTCTACCCTGAAGATCCGTTTAGGTGAAAACTAGGTAGGTTTGCAAATGGCTCATTAGGGTTTATTCTAATTTATCGCCCCACTTAGCGTATTGGGCCCTCTACGTTTTCGCTGTCTTTATACTCGCTGTTTTTTTTTTGTTTTTTTTGGACTAAGGACTTAAGACCATACCGATTTTTTTCGCCTTGTTTTGATGGTTATAGTTGTTTCTTTTTTTACTTCCAATTTTTTCCTCGGGTACCAATTTGCCATCAGGTGTCTACAAATTGAGTCATCTGAGGTTATTCAAGCAGTAATAATAATAATAATAATAATAATAATAATAATAATATATATATATATATATATATATATATATATATATATATATATATATATATATATATATGGACAGAACAAGAGGCTACGTTAGTTCCAGCCATTATTAAATGTGGATACTTCTTTAATACACGCTGTAATGCCTATTGATGTTCCAGAAGTTTTAAAGTTATCTCTTGGAGGAATTGTTTTTTAAATTAAAGGTCGTCATTATATATGCAGTCATCTGAGGTTTTCTAAGCGAGTAATAATATATATATATATATATATATATATATATATATATATATATATATGGACAGAACAAGAGGCTACGTTAGTTCCAGCCATTATTAAATGTGGATACTTCTTTAATAAACACTGTAATGCCTATCGATGTTCCAGAAGTTTTAAAATTATCTCTTGGAGGAATTGTTTTAAATTAAATGTCGTCATTATATATGAATGATATAAGAGGCTATGGCGGTACCACTATACTTATCTGTGGCTAGAATGTTAAACGTAAAGAAAGGACGAATGAATGTGAATCCTTGGATTAAAAAATAAAAAAATAACTCTTGCACATTTTGTTCTTTCTTTTATCTTAAATTCAGTTGTCACTGGGAATAAACGAAAGGGAAATAACACATCCTGTTTCTTGTAGTCAAGGTTTCTACTGGCACATACTTTTACACCCCAAAATCTTTACACCCTAAAATCTTTACACTCCAATGTATTTAGAAAATGAATCTTAGATTGCTTTTTTAACCTCCTAGCCACAGAAATCCTGGAAATAAAGTTTAGCAATTTTTGTCAAAAATAAAACAAAACAATTTTTTTCTTTTTCATTTAATTTGTTTTCTGAACTATTTTTTATTAACTATTTTCAAACTTCCGTATGGTTTTCAGATTGCTTATTTTCGTTGCATTGTAATTTAGAAATTCGGTCGATATATTTAGAATAAGCTTAAAATAAAAATTCGGGAACAAATATGAAATGTCCACATGTAAAAACATAGACGTACGAAAATGTCAAAAACTGAATCGATGACCATAGATCAGGCCTGTGCAACCTTTTTTGAACAGTGGGCCACACAATCTATGGCTCATCACAAGACGGGCCACATTACTAAACAGATACAAGATAATTTTTCGTAGTAGATGCCCCAGCTATTTTTGCTACAGAAAACAGTTTGCGTAAACATGTACCTTAGAAACTGTAGGAAAGTTTTATTCTTTAGAAAATATATTTTTAATAATAAAAAAATGTAGCTTCCATATAATATTATCAATGATTATAACGTGATTAACACATGTCGCTGCATGTGACGTATTTCTAATTTATTAATTCGAAAATTAAAACATTGCTTCTTTAGAGAAAACTGTTTTTATGAATATTTCCTGTTTCAAAAGCAAAAGATGTTTACACGTATGATCTTTCGTAGTGAAAATCGCAGATGTTTTAAAAGGTTACTTCCACGAAAGTTTTACATAATTCAAGAAACGTTGAACGTAATTATTGTTTATGCATGTGTTAATGTATGAGAGACTATGTGAGTGAACAAGTGAAAGCGAAACAATAAAATTTTAAGAAACGTTATTCTTATTAGGAAATTAAGCGTGCAATTCTAAAAGACCAAACAGGCCACATGTGGCCCGGGGATGCAATTTGCCTATGACAGGCATAGATTAGGCAAGTACATGGAAAGTAATGGCATGAAAAAAGTTTTACCTGTTTAGGACGTCTGTATCAAAGGTCACAAAATACATTTGAAGGACCTGAATCATGGCCCAGTGCATATAATATTCTTCACAAAGGTTGTCAGTAATTGTGACAATATTTAAACACAATACACTAACCTGTTTTCGGTCTTATTAATAATAAGGATATTAGGCAGCCTTAATCCAGAGTTTTGTAGCTCAGTTCGACTGCATTATTGTTGCTGAGGAAATGAATAGCTATACAATATTACGAAGTTATTTTTAAAGACTACAAGCAGACGATGATGAAGAATATATCAGCCGAAATATGTGTTAATGATAACAATAGTATAAATCAGGGGTCAACAAACTTCTTTCACAGAGGGTCCAGACAACTGAGAGAATGACGAGCGTGGGCCGGGTAACTATTTTCTTCAATACAATACACTGAATGCACAAAAATAAAGACAACAGACATACTTATGTACTAAAAGGTTATCCAAGAATGCGACAGTAGTAATAAAATAATTCTATCGCACGAAGTTCGAATCTCACAAAATAAGCAACGTCTTAGGTAAGATGATAAACTACATCCAACAGCAGGGCCTCTGATCAGGAGGTTTTGAGGAGCGTGGAACCACCTCTTAATTGCTGGAGTTCCCAGGTCTACCCTGACCCGGGGTGGTAGCACCTGTTAGGGTCCCAGCTATGGGCAAATAGTTAGCACCAAAACTGGGGTCAAAACACTATGAAAGCGTACAAATAGGTTTTAATATCAGAAATACTATTTGTAAAATATTATTACCAGCAATACATTATTAAATATAAATATATATATATATATATATATATATATATATATATATATATATATACACATACATATATATATATATATATATATATATACATACATACATACATACATACATACATACATACATATATATATATGTATATATGCACATCCATACATACATACATACATATATATATATATGTATGCATGTATATATATATATATATATATATATATATATATATATATATATATATTACCAGCTATACATTATTTTGAAAAAATATTACCAGAAATAGATTTTCAAAGAAAATATATTATCAACAATACATTTTTTTTTAAAATATTATCAGCGGTAAAAAATTTTGTCTGCATTAAATAACCCATTGATGCGTTGATATGCCATGAAACAAAACAAAACAAACCAAACAAACTAAGCAGTACAAAAGGTTAGTGAGATTTGTGAAACTGGTTTTTACCTTTTAAGATATAATTGATATTTGTTTTGGTATTGCTGGATCCAACCAAGAGAATTGCTTTGATATGTTCGTCAGTCAACCTTTTTATCTGTGCTGACTTTACATTCTTTATTTATTGTATAATAAGTTCAGTCTTTCTTATATACGAAACTCTTCAAACCGGTTTTAACATGGTAATGCAAGGCTCGTAATTGCTTTTCTTACAAAACTTCATTGCAGTGTTCTGATAACAAAAGTTGCCATTTTTTTTATTTCACTGATTTTCCTAAAACTAATTATACTGTCAGATGCAAAAATCAGATTGGCCAAATTTTGGCATTTTATTTACATTTAATTTTTCTTCCTAGTTTGTATAACTACAATCTATTGATAATTCCATATAAATAATTACATTTTAGCTAATTTCTAGCGCAGTGAGGCGGCGGGCCGGATGAACTGACGTCGGGGGCCGGATCCGCCCCGGGGGCCGTAATTTATCGACCCCGTGGTATAGAAAATATTCTGTAAAATATAAAGAAGAATTTTGTTTATTATTGCAATAATTATTTATATCCCCACAAAGTGCCATATTAAATTCTTTTCTTTTGTGTGTATCTTTAACGAGGTTGGGAGTCAGTGACGCAGTCCTGTTGCTAGGTGGGATTGGAAAATTAAACCAAAATAGTCATCTATTTGATGATATGATAACATTACAATGTAGCGAACAACAACAACAAGAAAAAAAAACTATTGGTGGGTGGTCTCGTCTTTCGAAAGAAAGAGATTCTGCGTGTAATCATACTGACGCTATTACTAGTCGAAAGCAGGTGAAAAGATTAGAAAAATACAGTTTGAATTATGGGATTTTTTTTCTGGATAGATAAAGAAATGCCTTTGAATGATAGCTGAAAAAGGAAACAAATGAACAATTTTAATGTCATCAGAAAAAAGAACAATGTCATAACCGCCTAGCCACAGAATTCCTTTCGACTATATATAGACTTATGGGAAATTTCAATTTTGTTTCTGTAAATTTTGATTATTAAGCTGCTAAAGGAAGGGAATTGTTATTACAAAACTCTCTGAAGTTTAATATTTTTATAAAGAAGCTATCACAAATTTGGACTTAGGATCAAAAATTAAAAAAAACATAGGGCCATTTTAGTGACTGAATCATAAAGTAATGGGTTTAAATAGCAAATGTTGGCTTTGGAATATGCTGTAATATCCATTTGATATGCTTTCAAATATCTCCTGTAAATGGTTAAATT